CATTTGTGATCGAAAAAAGGGCCAAACCTACAAGCAATGTGCAGAAAAATATCAAATATCGATAAGTGGTGTTAGAAAGATGTGTATAAAATTTGAAACAACTGGTTCTGTTGATAATCAGAAAAGATTTGGTCGCCCCCCTAAGACTTTAACAAGAACTGATATGCTAATTGCGCAAATAGCAAAACAAAATTCAACAATAACCTCAAGACAGATTGTTGAAAATCTTAAATTAAATGTTTCCAGTCGAACTGTACAGAGAAGACTTAATTCAAGTGGTTTAATAAATCGTCTTCAAAAAAGTAAACCCCTTATTAGTGGTATAAACAAAAAACGCTTAGCATTTGCAAAACTGCATATTAACAAGGATGAGGCATTTTGGAACTCAGTGTTATGGTCTGATGAGAGTAAATTTCAAATATTTGGCTTTAAAAAACGACAAAGAGTTTAGCGCAGACCTTGTGATGCACTCTTAGATAGAAATCTTAGAAAAACTGTCAAGCATGGAGGTGGCTCAATTATGGTTTGGGGATGCTTTGCTTCAAATGGTGTGGGAAGACTGGTGAATGTTGAAGGTATATTGACAGGACAATTGTATGTTGATTTGCTTTCCAAACATTTATGTCAATCCGCTAAAAAATTGAATTTAGATCGCAAGTTTTTTTTTCAACAAGGCAATGACCCCAAACACACCAGCAAAGTGGCACAACATTTCCTCAAAAAAATTAAAGTTAACATCTTTAAATAGCCACCACAAAGCCCGGACCTTAACCCCATTGAAAATTTATGGGCAATTTTAAATCCTAAAATACCTCCTTCAAAACGAACAAATAAAAAAGAATTTTTCGAGGTTCTTAGTGAAACTTGGAATTCAATTGGTACTGACGTCACGTCAAAGCTTGTAAAAAGCATGGCAAGACGTTTAGAAGCAGTCGTGAAAGCAAAAGTTGGTGTAACAAAGTACTAAAATGAAAATCAGACATGATATTCTTGTATTTTTAATATATATTACTGACAAAACATTATATTTCATAATAAAAACTCATAATAAAAAAATATGTTTCTTACTTATGTCGCATTTCTTTTGGACAAAAGAGTTGTAAGATAGCTAATTTTGTTTAATAGAGTTACTTTTGCAATGAGTTATAAAGAGTTAAAATAATTTTTTTTTTTCTTTGAAATCAAATTTTTAAAAAAACATAAAGTTATTGCAGTTGCGTAGATCCTGACTTAAATAATTTTGTTTTTATTGTTCGAGTTTCGATTTTATCAATAATGTTACTTAATTTTGTCTGTGACTGTATATATACATATATATATAAATATATATATATATATATATATATATATATATATATATATATATATATATATATATATATATATATTTATATATATATATATATATATATATATATATATATATATATATATATATATATATATATATATATATATATATATATATATATATGTATATATATATATATATATATATATATATATATATATATATATATATATTGATATATATTGATATATATATATATATATATATATATTATAGGTTATATATATATATATATATTATAGGTTATAAATATATATTATGTAGCCAAGATGCTGAGGTACAGTATATATATATATGCTGAGGTACAATATATATTATGTAGCCAAGATGCTGAGGTACCCTTTCAATTTTAAAGGTAAAAAACTACATAAATAAAAATCTTATTTCAGCAAGAATTTTTTCAACAATTCTGGCATTTCTGGTTCCAACGACTACTATAGATAACAGCTAACTATTTTTATTAACATCATAATTATCACCAATTACTCACATCAGATATTAACATTTAGCATCTTATCAGTATATACTAACCAAGTAAAAAAAATAATACTCAGACTTTAATACTTCAAACTTTAGCAATTGTTGTTAACAAACAATTTTAATTTATAGATGTTCAAAAATTATTTTTAAAAACCGTAAAATTTTATTAATCAAAAATTAATGTAAAATGTAGCTATTTTTTTAATTTAGAATTTTTTTAACTTTTTGAAATTTTATTTTTGAACAAGTTAAAAAAAAAAATTTCAAAATACTAAAATTGCTTTGAAGAAATTACAATGGAAACAAACTTTAAGTTTTTTATAATTTTTTTAAATGGTTTTTACATAACAAAACCAGATTGCCGAATTTGACTATTAATATAATAAAACTAGATTGCAAAACTTGATTTCAAGATAATTCCATTTTTTTAATTTTCTTCCAATTGTATATTGAATTTACTGTTTCTTTAACAATTATTAAAAAAGTATTTTTTTGTTTAATTTAAAAATATTTAATGTATTGGTCTCTAGCAGGTATGAATTAAAAATGTAAAGTCTGTACACTCAATCTGTAGCTAACATAACATTGAGGAAATTTTTCTACTTGTTGTTCATGACCCAACACAATCTTGAGTTTTCTTGTCTAACAAACTTCTTGATGGACCTAATTTTATAAACAATTCCAAAATAGTATTAAACTTTAAAAGAATTCCCAAAAAAAAACAAAGCAAATTATAGTCAACCAGCTGTAATTTTATGGTTTCTGTAATCATGCTTATTTTTTGTTTTGTTCTATGCTTATGTAACTAATTCCACATTGTTTTGGAGCCATGCAGTTACTAAGGTTAATATTAACAATACCATTAATAAAAAGCTCTCTATTAATGAGAACACGCTATGTCTTTTAAAACTTCATAAGTGCTTTGTACATCAGTATTTTCAATGTTGTTTGGTATGATATTACTGACACTTTTGGTATTATTTTAAATGATGATTTGCATTCAAATTTAAATTTTATTGGTCTGAAATTAAATTTCCTTAAGGTCCAAAAATAAACATAGTTTATTGTAATAGTTTAGCTGCTGATATATTATATCTTTTTTTATTTTTTAAGAATAATAAAATCAAAATATTTAATTTTTAAAATTCGCTTTGTAACTGTTCTATACAAGATAGAACCTAAATCTCTTCTTTAATCATTTTAATTAGAGTTGTGTTTTAAAAAATACAAAAGTGAAAGTAAGCAAGCCAGTACACAACCTACTAGAACTAACAAGACAACTGCAATGTTCTATTTCAGAATTAAATCAATCAAAAAGTAAAACAACAGATCTCAAACAGGCACAATATAATTTTATACACATTGAATTAATCCATGTAACATTAAACCAGGTATCTATTTTATTTTGCAAATTTGTAGCATTTTTGATACTTTTTCAGGAAGTTCGCAGTTACCTTCTTTTTTATGGTCACAATATCTGTAAATATTTTCACTAATTTTTTTTTTATGGTCACAATATCAATATCCTCACTAATTTTTTTATCGTAAAACAATATATTATTTAATCATTTACATTTTCAATTATGGAACAAATAACTGCAGCGACAGTATTATTTAATGATTTTTTTTTAATAACAAAGTTACCATCTTTACTTTTTTCCCTACATCAAATTAATTTCAAGACCAGACCCCTGAAATAAATCTAATAGTGGTTGGTTGCAGCCTTGTAGAAAGCAGATATGTTAAAAAAAAAATCATAAAATTTTCAGTTTACTTAGTTTTTTGTCAAATGCTTTCTTGGACTTTTATTGTATTTTTCTGTCGTTTTTTTTTTTGAACTTTTTCACTGAACTCTCTCATTTGCTATCTGTTAACTTAGGCAGTTATTGTATAATAATAACAATAATGATGATGATTTTAAACATTATTATCATTATTATGACTTGACTAAATTAATTTTTTGAAGATAAAAAAAATCTCACATTCTGTCTTTGTGTTTGAAAGTTTTTGATGTCATGTTATGATTAGATAAGATATAAAGTTTATAGGAGGTTATCATAAGTTTCATAGGAGGTTATTTCAAGGTTTATAGGAGGTTATTATAAGGTTCATAAGAGGTTATCATAAGGTATCAAAGGTATCATAAGAATAACCTGACTTCAAAGACATAAAAACACCAAGGCAGAATGTAAGATTTTTTATCTTTTTTTCAAGATAATCTATGAATCTTATGATGACCAGATAAAAATTTGTTTTATAACTTACAACTTAATGCTTAAGTGATACATATTAACAAATAAAAAAGTTGTCAAATATAATTAAAAATTAAAAAATAAATATAAAGGTTTCGTTTAAAGTATTTTAATCTTAACAACTGTCACTAAAATATCATAAAAATAGATTAATTCATAATATTTATCAGAAATTTTATGTTAAGAAATTTCAGTACTTTATTTATATTTCCGAGGCCAAGGAGGCCAGTTAATAAGGTTTTTTTGTTTTGTTTTTACATGAAACTTGCCAAACAAGGACACTGTGCAAGGAATAAGTATAGGCTTTTATAAAGAAGTTTGTTAGAAAGGGTTCTTCAAATAGATTTCATATTAAAATGTTTTTCAGAATTCATAACTTTAATCAATTTTAATTTAAAAAATTGTTAGAAGTAATTATTTGAAGCTTAAATAAAAGTTTTGTCCAACAGAATAACTAATAATAAAATTATAACTGATAAAAAAAGTTTAAATTTAGACATAATAATCAATTTAAATTTTTGTCAAATATAACAACTTCAACTCTAAATAAAAAATTTCTTAATAATGACTTTTTTAGATTCATTAGATTTATCAAAAATATTTGGAATAAATAACTTGGAAACTGTAAACAAAGAATAACATAAAATAGTATTTATAAAATTTTGTTCACATCATTATTTTTATATTAATTATATAAATAAAATTAATTTATTACTTTTATTTTATTTTTTATATATTGTTTTTATATGTATTTATAAAAAGTTATTTAAATTCATTTAATTTATCAAAAAGTTTAATTCAAATTTTATTAAAAATATTTTTTTTAAAATTATAATAATAATGATCATGAGCTTTCTAAAAACTATCAAAATTGTGATGACAACTTTACTAGAAACTGTTTTGTTGTATTTATTTAGAATTGTCCGCTGAACTAAAAAAATTTTATCTTGAATATTATGGAAAAATTGATGAACTTGAACCTCTGTTAAAAGCATCTGTAAATGTTGATCTAATACAAAAATATGTTGATCTATGTATTGTTAATTCCGTGACTGCTCAAAAAGATGCTGTTTTTAGTGTTGAACGTACCAAATTCCTTGATAAGCAAATGCGTTATGCAACAATTCCATATAGTGAAATATTTACAAAAGAAAAATCTGTAATGTTATTATCTGGAATAGCTGGTATTGGAAAAACATGGTTGCTTAGAAAATGTTTGCTTGATTGGTCAAATGGTTTAATTTGGAAAAATGTTGAACTTGTTTTTTATTTGGAATGCAGGAGGCTTAATCAATATTCAAATATTTCCAATATAAATGAATTACTAAATGTTTTCTACAAAGATATTACAAATGACTTTAAAATTAGTAATTACACTGCACTGTTTATAGTTGATGGATTAGATGAGTTTAAATATTTCAATGAGTTATTAAATCCAAGTTTGACTTGTAAATATCCGATTGTTAATACTTTAGCAGAAATTCAAAATTACAAACACATAATTGCTGGTAGAGTTTATGCAACTGATCAGTACCAAAGTGTATCTGCAGAACAAAGCAATAAGTTAACTATTCAAATAATGGGATTTAATGAAAATGGAATAAATAATTATATAGAAAGTCATGTTGTGGAAGAAAAAAAAGAAGTTGTAAAAACAACTTTGACGGAATCTCCCATTGCTAAAGCCATGGCATCTGTTCCATTTTATTTATCTTCAATGTGTAAAATAATTAGTGATGTAGAAATAATAAATAAAAATTCCTTCTTAACAATGACAGATTTGTATGCAAATGTTTTTTTATACTTTATGCGCAAACACATCATCAAAAACAATAAATTGGTATATAAGATAATGGAAGACAATACCAATAAAAAATATATTTTAAATATTTGTAAAATTGCATATAATTTGTTTCTTGAAAATAAGATAATTTTTTCCAAAGAAGAATTTCAAGATTTTCTTAGTGATCTTGATAAAAAAGAAGGTGATTTTTTTGGATTTATAGAAAGGATTGAAACAGATTTGGGTTACTACTATCAGTTTGCACATTTGACAATAATGGAGTTTTGTGCATCTGTATATGCATATAATTGTTTAAATAGTGATGAGATTATGGCCAGTAAAAAACTGAAGAGTTGTTTATCAATGATTTGTGGGTTGGCCAATAAAAACCAAAACAGTTTTATAAAGTTTCTTGTTAACCTGAATCCTTCGAAAAAATCTAATGAAGAACCATCACTTTTGTGTTCAATTTTAGGTAAGTTCTAAAACTTTGTTGCATTATTGTTAGTCATTTTTGGTAATCATTTAGTGTCCCTAGTATGATATAAAAAATGTCTTAATTTTTTCATTTTTTTTTATTTGTTAAGTTTCTGTTAATAGCAGATTATTACATGCAATTAAGGTGTTTTTGTTAATTTTATATTTTTTATAGTTTTGTAATTTTTATCATTAGATTTTATTAAAAAAAAATTGTTTAGGAAATATGGCACATTTTCTCACACTTCTTTTTTGAAAGTGATCACACAACTATTTTACAAAAGTAAAATTGTTGTATGACCATTGCTCACTATATAAATGCTGAAGGTGTTGATGTGGTTTTGAACATTTTTAGATATTTTTTTTTGCATTATCTTTTTTTAATTTATAGTTGATTAAAAGATTTTTCTTTGTGATAAGAAACCTTATTTAAAAATTCACAAGTCGCTAGCACAAGTCTCATATATGTATACTACCTTTATAAATAAAAAATTTGCAATAACTTGTTAACACTTGGTGTTTTTAAAAATCTAATTAATCATTTTATCATCTAATTTGTTAATCATTACCTAAAATTAACTGTAATTAATTCATTAATTATAACTATTGAGGTTGATCTAAAACAATTTTATGTTAGAAACTATTGTATGAAAATGATTTTGTTGAAATGTGATGTCTCAAAAAAATGCTGAGATAAAAATAACCTAAAATTCAGACTAACTGTGTTAAATGAAGGGAAAATAAACATTTGGATTTTGTAATTTTTTAAACTAAATCAAAATATATTGATAAACTTCAGGTTTCTTAAAAATAATTTATGTGCTTTAAAAGTTATTGTAATTTTCTTTTGAGAGAAATGTCAGAAAAAATGTTTTGGTGGTACTATGCTGAAAATACCCATTCCTAATTTGCAAAACTGGGTAATGTCTAAAAGGTGATTGGATTTTAAAAAATTGCCTTAGCGAGTCCGTGTCATTTAAGCATTTATTTTATATTATGTAATTTAATACTTATTTAAATCCCTTGCTAATGAGTATAAAAATGTAAATTACTTTTTTGTTAATCTATTTTAAATAATTAAAAAATATATATATTTAAAATTATCAGACACAATAAAATTATGTGTATGATCTAGTATGTCTGTAGTGCAATAATGTTAATGGAATCAATAAAAATTACCAATAAAACTGATATGTAAACAAATATTTCTAGTAAAAAGTAAAACTACTGGTTGAGTTTTATTAAAGATCTATTTTAAAATTGGTAGGGTTGATTACAAAGTTTGAAGTACACCAATTACATTTTCAAAGCTAAGCTATGCATTTTCTAAGAGTTTAAAATACTTGAAGTTATTAAAATGGAAAGATATTTAAAATGTTAACAGCTGTCTATGAAGTACGTTAAGTATGTTACTATGACTAAATTTTTTTGAACTAAATGGAGAACAGATTTAATTTAACTATGTATTTATTCTATATATGGAATGTAATTGAAATATAAATTGTAATAAAAATATAGTAATAGTTGTATAAACACATTTCAACCTCTGTCACATCGTTGTAATGTTGCTAATCTTTCTCCTTTCTACAAATACTATAATGGGCACTGCTCTAAAGAGCTAGCGTCTCTTGTGCCACCTACTAAAATTCATTCTCGTGTTACTCGTCATTCAATTAAGTCTCATCCTTTTTCTGTTACTGTTCCTAAGTGCTCCAAAATCTCTATTTATTTGTCTATTTTTTTTCCTCGAACATCAGTTCTTTGGAATTCGCTTCCTTCATCTTGTTTTCCTGATTCATATAATTTGCAATCTTTTAAGTCGTCTGTCAATCATTATCTTGCTTTACAATCATCATCTTTTCTCTTCCAGTAACTTCCAACACTAATTAGTGGTTGCTTGTAGCCTTGTTGGAAGCGAAGATGTTCAATATATATATATATATATATATATATATATATATATATATATATATATATATATATATATATATATATATATATATATATATATATATATATATATATATATATATATATATATATATATATATATATATGGGAGAGTTGTCTTAATGGGAACAATTTAGGAATAAATATTTGTTAACCAAAGATGGCTTAACTATGAAAACATTTATGATTTGATTGTTACAAACAGACTTCCCTACTATACTTTTAACCACAATTTTACTTAATTGATTGCACTGTTATTGGAAATAAATTTGTTTTTGCAAAGATACCATTTTGTTTCAATCAAGGCAACTGGTTCCCTAAATTGGAACACTTTGATTCTTTATTCAGAACAGTTTTTTTTTTGTTAAAAAAAAACTCTAGGAAAATCAACAAAAATTGGTTTAAAATGTTATTTATCTTTACAGTCAAAATTTAAACAGTTAATTCAAACCTTATTTAGGATAAGTATTGCTATGACAAACTTAAAGTCTACAAACAAAAATTTGTATAAAAGCTTATTTAACTGATTAAAAATCACTAAATAAAGTATTATTTTTAAAGTTTATGGTTGTTACTAAGTATTTTTTATTGCACTTAAACTATTTTTACAACCCTTTGATTTTATTACTAATTAGGAAAAGAAAACTTTAATGTTTTAATCAAGAAAACGTTGGACTTTTTTTGTTTTATCACTGCAATAACATACTTGCAGCAACTTATAAGATAAGTTTTTATTGTTATTTTGCATTTTAAATCCCATCAAATTAACCACAAAAAGCAGTATAACCTATAGCAGGGATGGCCAAATAGCGGTTCGCACGCCATATGCGGCTCTTAGAACATCATTGTGGCTTGCAAGCTGCATGCAGCTCTTTTCAAAAGTTTTTTGATTGAGTAATAATAAAAACCTATAATAAAATATAGCCAGAAGACATACTGTTTGAAAAATGAATATAGCAAAAGGCTATGATAATGCTCTTCACAATAAAAGTAAGAAAAGAAAAATGGAAGATGAGAACAGATTATTTCATGGTAATTGGACTGAAAAATACGCATTTATTGAAAAAGAAAATAAATTTATGTGTCTAATTTGTCATACTGAACTTCCTTTTAATAAGACATGTAGTGTTAAATGTCACTATGAAACAAAACATATGTGTTTTTCTGAAGAATACCCATTAAATTTATGTCATATAAAAAATTAAATCCAGTTGCTTAAAGCAATATTTAAAAATCAACAAATGAATATTTTATCCTCCAGCAAAGAATCAAATATTACAACAGAAGCAAGTTTTATTATAGCTGGGAACATTGAAAAAATTAAACATCCTTACACCATTAGAGAGTTTGTAAAACAAAATTTTTTAGATGTGATCTCAGTTTTATATCCTAATAATAGCAAAATTTAAAAGTTAATTTCAAATATTTCTGCTTCTCGACATACAACTAAAAGAAGAATATTTGAGATTAGTGTTGAAGTTAAACAGCCTTTGATAAATGACTTAAAAAATTGTGAAACATTCAGTTTGTTAGTGTTGCTACAGATGGTGCAACAGCAATGGTTGGAAAACACATTGGGCTTATTGGTTTACTAAATAGTGATCCTACTTATCCAGAGTTTCTTGGTTTATTGTGTAATTCATTGAGAACAATTAGCAGCAAAACATTTCAGTTTTTCAATTATTTTTAAATCAGTGCTGGAGATTATATAAATTATATTCGATCTAATGCAAAAAATCACCGACAGTTTAAAAATTTCATTAGTAAATTGGATCTTCCTGACAAACCAAGTAACTTTATTTTACTGTAAGGTGGCTTTTAAGTACTGACATTCTTTATAGGTTTGTAGAACTATTAGAACCAATTAAATGTTTTTTTAACTGATGTAATGCAACTTTTACAAAATCTGAATTTGCTTCAGGAAAAGAAAAAAATATATCTGATCTTGCTCAGACTATTTAGTTTTCAAAAAAAAGTTGCTCTATTTAAGAAAGATCTTACCTTAAAAACATTTTAATTGTTTTTCTTAAACAATGAAGATGATTCATAATCTTTATCCTGTGATGATGATCATAAAATTGAATCATACCAGGAAAAACTACTTTTCAAGTTTTTTTGAAGGCTTTTAAAACAGGTTTAAAGGTTTGTATGCTCTTAAATCATCATTAGTATTTTTAATAAATATCCTTTTTTAATTGATATTCTTTGTGATGGTTGTCCAATACCAGATAATATACTTAAAAACATCTCAATTTGAAATGGAAGTAACTTAGGCAAGTTATTATACAAGAAGAATTTTTTGATAGTCTTATAGAAAAAATAATTGGTGTTATAAAAAGAATTCTTTTTGTTATGTCTAATTGTCTGATTGATGAAAAGATATTTTCAAGTTGTAAAAATAAAAGTAATTTGAACTAAATTGAAGTTCATTAAAAAAAAATTTTATTGTGTAGTCTTCTATTTGATATTTTGCAGTTTTTAGTAAATTATGCTATTAAGTGGTTATAAGTAAGTTCAGTTTGAATAAAACCAAGTTTAATTCAAATACATCAAAAATTAAAATTTTCATTCAAATAAAATACATCAAAAAAATAAAAAAAAGAAACCATTGTATCTTTAGATTTTTATATCTTGCTTACAATTATTTTTATAAGAAAATTTATGGTTGTTGTAAATGTGTTAATTTTTTTTAAAAATTATGGTATAGAGATGCTTCTTAATTTTTTCTTCAAATGGTTTTCTAGTGTGAATAAAAACAAATCAGATTTTACGTAGCCAAGTTTACATTTAAAAAATAGTTTTTACTTTCTTCATTGTAAAAAAAACTAAATACTAAACATAAATTGTGTACATACTAACTTTATTTATAAAAATAGAATTTCCAAAAAAAAAAAAATCAGAATTTTGATGTATAAAAAATCTAAATTTACGATCACCAATTATTTTTTTAAGATGAAGTTAGCATAGCAACATATTTATTGTGGCTCTTTGGCACACATCAGTATTTATATGCGGCTCTTGCGCCTTCTGGCCAGCCCTGACCTCTAGCACCATAGTTTAGCCAGCGCAACCAATATAGTGTGAACACAAAATTAGATCACTGAAAAAAAATGATGCAAAAAAACTTTAAATCAATGGTGCAAATGCATTTTTTGAGGAATAACTTTCAAAATGTGTCTAAACGAAGAAAATAATGCAAAATATAGCCATAATTCATTTTTTTTTTCAAAATTAAATGCAAGTGTTAAAATTAAGGCGCTATTCCAAATTCGGCAACTCTCCCCTATATATATATATATATATATATATATATATATATATATATATATATATATATATATATATATATATATATATATATATATATATATATATATATATATATATATATATATAAACTTAATTTCTCCACGCAGCGGCCTTGCTTGTCAAGGTGAGTGTTTCGGAGTTAAAGAGTTGAGAGAAGGTTGTACCACGATTTACAAAAAAAAAAAAAAAAAAAATGAGCAGCCTCCTCAACTGTAGTGGCCTCCTCGGGCCTTGGGGAGGTGAAAATTAAAATATATATATATATATATATATATATACACATACAAATTTATATACATATATATAAACATACATACATATATATATATATATATATATATATATATATATATATATATATATATATATATATATATATATATACATACATATATATATATATATATATATATATATATATATATATATATATATATATATATATGCATATATATATATATATATATATATATATATATATATATATATATATATATATATATATATATATATATATATATATATATATATATATATATATATATGAATTAATTCTGTTGTATGTATGTCTGTTGTAAATATGTATGAATTAATTTTTTTGTATTTGTTTGACTCGTCAGTATTAGATTTATAACCCAGGAACAAAAGTATACTTTGGTTAACAAGGTATTATAATACTTAGTTATAATATATATATCAAGTACAGTTGAAAATAAAAAAGAGAAACATTACTATCTAAAAAAATTTTCCAACTAAACTGACGCGTCAATTGAGCTAGTAAATTAGATTTTGAGTAAATATCTACAAAAAGGAGTGTTTTAAAATATTCTTGTGTAAAAGTAACGAAAGCTGAAAACCTCTGAAATGTGGGGTAGATGTTGCGTGTTTCATCAAACAAGGAAAGGTAAATATTTTTCTTTTGATTTACTCAAAGCTAAGATCAAAACGTTTATAGAAAATACTATTATCAGGGGCGCACAGAGACTTCGCGATGCCCGGGGTATATTATGAAAAGTTACTGGATATAACCCCCCTTCCTCTTACCACCACCAATATAAAAATAGTAAGAAAAATAAAGCTATTAATAATAGCTTTATTTTTGTTATTTTCTCAATTTTCTAGTGTTCATAAAATAAATTAAAATTCTGTAACTCTCCCCTTAAGACAGTTCACAAATTAAATCAAAAATTAAGATACTGATAATATTTATTTGTCATATGATGATGCCCCATAAACGTGATGCTTGAGGGAAACTGACCCGGATCCCCTACCCTCTGTGCCCTCCTGACTATTATTTAAAAGTTAGTGAGTTTTTAAACTTTTTATGCGAAAATACTTTTTTTTTTTTTAATAAACTCTCGAGGTCAGGCTTGCTTTTACATTGAGTAAAAAAGCTGCGTAAAAATACACACAATCAATATCTAGAGGCTTGACAATCTAGAATATTTTACCACTTTTAATTAATTGTGTCAACTCACAATAAAAACTATATTTGTGTCAACACACGATAAAAAGTATTATATGGCTTGAGTTTGTCTTGAGTTTTGAGTTAGCATTAACTAATATTGATAAGTTCAAACAAAATGAGAGCGGCAGAAATAGCTTTGGCTTTTGTTTTAAAAAAAGGCGGCGTTTTTGTTGAATTGTTTGATTGAGTTTGAATCTGTTGATTCTCTTCAAGAGAATAAAGTTAAAAAAGTTTATTTTTAGAAGGTCTTCATTTTGACTTGTTGTGATGCTTTTGTGTAATTTTTTAAAACGTTTGTTTTAAATTTTAATGATTTTATTCGAATTTATTAAAATATTTTTATTAATCGAGTTTTAAGTAAATAAAATCTCTTCGTTTTTGTTTTCATAAAATGTTTTAAGGAATAATTTGCTACGATTGTTTATTAAAATTTTCATTAGTAACAAAGTTCTTAAACTTTGTAAGTATACTTGAGTTTAATATTAAATTATTTGTTTTGATTAAAAAGGTTTATGAATTTAAATTGTTACAATATAAAAATTACAACGACAATCTTGTGCATGCAATTGATAATAGCAAGGCTTTATTATATTATAAACATACCAGAAAAAGTACTAAAACTTATAAATCTTTGAATTTAATGTAATATTTTTGATATTAATTTGATTTTATTCAATATAACATCTTAATATATCCTGTTGGAACCTTAAGAAAAATTTAAACTGTTTATATATTTAATTATTAAATATCATTTGAAAGGACTTTAAATTAGTATAAAAATGGTTAAAAATTTCATAAAAAACAAAAATTCTACAAAAAGTTATTTACATTTAAGTAACAAAACTTTATTAAAAGGACTTTCTCTTTAAAGCCGGCCTAATATTGGCAAAAGCACCGATATTAAAGAAAATGTTTAGCATGTTAAAGGTGCGCAAAAAAATAGTATAGCATGATATCGGTACGCACCTTTGCCATACTCAATTTTCAACAATCAATCAATCATTATCAATCAATATATTCTGAATTACTTAATTTTACAAATCAAGAATGTTTATAAGTATATATTTACTAATGGTAATACACTGAGGTATTTGATTGAATTTACAACCGACTCTATTTTTAATTAATTTTCTTTTTTATTCTATTTAGTATATAAAAAATTAGTACAAAAAAGTATTATTTTTATTGTATACCAACGTTTTTTCTAAGTTTTAGTACTAAATGTGACATTTTTCCGGAGAGTTGGTAATAGGTTTTTTATTTGGTTGCTAGAGCAAATCGTTGAAAAAGGAATTGTTTCATTGTTGACGTTTAAAAAGATATTTGAATAATTTAAATATGTTTTTATAGCATTTACATTTTGTTGCTATGCTTATATAGTGAAATTATGTTGACTATGACATCCAAATGTCACTTTACTATAAATCCAAATGTCTCTTTAATATAAATTTAAATTGCTCTGTACAACTTCTATTTTCTTTTTTTTTTTTTAATATTAATTATTCTTCTTGGTATTAATTATTTTCGATGAATTTTTTTCATAGGTATTTTATATTTCTTTTATCACTCAGTCAAAATTCAAGAATTCCAGATTGCATAACATTTATCTTATAATATTATATAATTATTTGTTTTAATTATTTTTTAAGTATGTTTAATTTATAATTTATTATATAAAATTAAATTATTTTGTTTAAAAATCTTATGAAAATTATGTTCACATCAATAAAATTAAAAAAATTCCTTATATTTTTTATCAAAGAAGAATTTTATTGAAAAGTTTAACAGTTTTAATATATTTATATACTATTATAATTTAATATTAATTTATACATATAATATTATAATGTAAAATATAGTTTATTTAATATCAATATTAAATTGTATATAGCCATTTTTTAAATTTCAATTTTGATATAATTGTGTAATATTATAATGTATGTAATGTTATAAATTCGATTATTATTTAAATTATTATTTTAATAATTTGTTTATTTTTACATTTAATATTTAATTTTACTTTAGATCGTCTAAGTAAAAGTTATAATATAAAAGATTATCATATTTTGATTAATTTTGATTGTTATTTTAATTACTTGTTTATTTTTATAATTAATATTTAATTTTACTTTAGATCGTCTAGGTAAAAGTAACGTCTATGAATATTACCATTTTTTAATTATTGAATGTTTTTATGAAAGTCAATCATCATTTACTGATGAAATAAAATCAGTTGTTGATAAACAAATATTCATTATTTCGATTAACGATGGAAAAACTTCTTACTTTACTTCTTGCGAAAATTATTTCATAAGTCATTTCGTAAAATCTGGAAGAAAGTTAGAACAGTTAAATGTTAATAAAAATATTTTAAGTGATGAAGAAAAAAAACTTTTAATACAATGTTCAACTAATGTTCGCAAAGTCATCTTTTATCGTCCAATTAATTTCGAAGGGTGGAAACCGAAATATAAGATTGAAGAGTTGAAGATATCGATCTCATATTATTTAATAACAAAAAAAAATTTTCAAGAAAACATTCTTCCGTGGATTAATCTTTGTGAAGAATTAGTTCTTGAACTTCACGACAACATTGATTTTATTAAAGAAATTTATGAATGGATTTGTTGTTCGAACATCAAGAAGTTTGAGATCAGGTACCGTGGAAAATATTTTTGTAACCTCGATAAATTAAAAAGTTTTACAACACAAAATAATGTTTAATACTTTAAATATATTAAATAAAAACAATAATTTTAAGTAATTAATGAATTATTTAATCTAATATTTTATAAAAATAAATAATTTTTTAAACATACGAATTAATTTTATTAGTTTATTAAATTTATTTAAAAGTTTTTATTATTAAAAAAAGTCTTTTATTATTAAAATATCATATCAATAATTCGTTTTCAAATATATTGTTAATAATAATAATAATAATAATATTAATAATAATAATAATAATAATATAAATTATTAAATATAACTGTGTTTTTGGTATTTAAATTTTTATAATTATTTTTTCAAATACTATTAATAACTAGTTGATTTCGGACCCGTAAAAATACGGGTCTTTGTAAGTCTATTCTAAACCGAACTTTTTAATACCTTTTTCTTATATATCCAAGCTTTTCGAATCCGTACAATACGGGTCTTTACTGAACCTACTATTTCTATAAATACCTGTTCCACACCGATTATTTCTATACCTATTCCTTTTTTACTTCAATACTTTTAAGTAAAATAATTTTGTTCTGAAAAACTACTTTAAGAGCAGAAAATTAGATAAACTATAAAACGTTATGGAATCGCCTACAAATTACGCAACGCTAAATTTATTTTTCAAAAAGTAGAAGAGATCTTCAGTTCTTTAGGATGACGATTTTCATTAAACTTAATGAGCTCTATAAATATAGATCATTTTTGTTTTCTTTAATTCTGAAATTTAACGTTGAGTATTTTATGGACGATCCCTTATTTTTAAGTTTAGATAAAAGATAAGCCAAAAAGTATATAAAGCCAAAAAATAATAGAGTATAATATTATTTTAATGGTTATCTAAATTGTGTTGTCATTGCGCACTTGGTTTTGTATGTTTAACGGGGGCGTAAGTTAATAGCAGTATAACCCTAAATTTCCTTATATCAATATTAAATATAAAAGTTACACTTTAACTTTTAATTATTTTTAAAAGTAATCAGTTTAATATAATGGTTTCATTTAAATATCTAATTAGAATTTTTTTAATTATGTTTTTATAAAAAGCATATATTTTTAATCCCCGTACCGTTTTGAAAAACTTAAGGTCGCCGCGTGGCAAGTTCAAATCATCAGCTTGCTTTATTTTTAATTTTTGTTGTCGTGACCCATAAGATATGGATCTTGCAAATGTATTCCAAACCGACCTTTTCTATACTAAATCTATACCTCAATATATTTGAGTAAGAGGTAGGAAAATAACCATAAAAAAACTATATTAATTGTTTCAATTTTTGAGCCATAAAAAAAGTTCTATCGTAAATAGTTATTAAAAATATGAGATGATTTAAATATGTGGAACAACGGACATACCATGTCTTTAATTTTTTTTCGAATCTGCAGCTTATTAGGATTCTTGCCGTTTTAATTTTAAAGAAAAATCATTTTTTCTTTAAAATTAACAGGGCATGTCAAATATTTTTCTATAAGAAATAAAATTGTCCCTTTAATGCACAGACTTAACTAATAAAGTAAACACACTAACACTCGTAACAATTTACACTCGTAATTTATAAAAACAAATATTTACATGACTGGGGCTTGAAGAAGACAAAATTCATCTTATCATTAAGCCCCCCCAAAAAAATGCATATTCATCAAATAAAATATTTTAACAAAATGTAAAAAATAAAATATATAACGTTTAAAATATTTACTAATTCAAAGAGTATTTATATTTAAGAACTGATTAGTAAAATAAAATGATATATAAGTATTAATATTACAAAAAGAATTTACAATAACTTTTTTTAATAAAAATTGAAATTATAAAATTTTACAATATTTTTAGTAATTAGTATTTCAAATAATAAAACTTAAAAAATCGTTTGTAAATTCAAAACTTATAAGATAAGAAATACATTTACAATAGCATACTATTGTTTAGAATATTAAATATAATATTAAAGAGTAATTAGTAGGTTAATTTTTGTTTTTGTTTGCTAGTTTAAAAAGCTTTTTAGAAGAACTTTAATTCATTTTCATGTATCATCATGTATCAGTAATTGCTTAAGTTTTGTTTTAAACTGGTTTAAAGAATAATTAGATTTCAGCTCATTATTTAATATTGTATTCCACAGCTTAGGACCTCGATTTGCAATTGAGAATTTGGTTGCTGAATAATGTGTTTTGGATTGAATGTAATTGTTTTTTGAAAATCTGGTAGGGTATATGTGGTTTATTTTTTCAAAAAGTGAATTAAATAACATTGGTGATATTTTTTTATCAAGTTTAAACATGAAGATAAGAATATGGTAAAGGTTTAGTTTATATACATTTAGAATATTAAGTTTATTAAATAGTGTTTTAGTGTGAGAGAAACGGTCTACGTTTGTAATTATCCTTATAACCTGTTTTTGTTTACTAAACAGTTTTTTTACTTTTGTTGCGTTTGTGCTGCACCAAGCAACGTTTGCATAATTTAAGTAGCAATGAATTAAAGAAAAATATAAGTTTTTTAATTAAGATAGATTTAAAAACTGCTTGGCTTTATACAAAACACCTATATTTTTTGATATTTTATTTTCAATTAGACCTATGTGGTCCCTCCAGGTTAAATTTTCATCCAGAACCACATCTAAAAACTTTATTGATTGCTCTCTTTTTAATAATGCGTTATCAATAAAAAGATCAGGAAGTTTTAATGGAATATCTTGTTTTTTATGAAGACGATGGAACAAAGTGTATTTGGATTGTATTGTATTAATGTATTAAATGGAAATCAATTTATTTATACATAATAACAAAACAAAATATATAAAGAATTGTATGTTTACAAAAAAAATTCAACTAAATTTGCATTATAAATAAAGGATTGGTAGATTAACCAATATTTGGTTTAATTGGTAGAATAACCAACTACATAAAACCTTATTATAGATGCAGCCTTTTTTGTATCTATTACTTACTCTCCTCCTTTACATATGTATATATATATATAAAAAGGTGGGGGATGATTTTGCCCTAAATTTGAACCCACACCATGTGGGGAACGTAAGCCCTCTATTCGTTCTGCAAAATGCTAAAAAAGCATTGTAAGATGTCTAAAATGAAACAAAATTAAATAATGACATAAAAAAAGCTGAGATCGGCCCCGTAAAGTTACGGGTCTTTGTATATCTAATCCAAACCGAACTTTTCTAAACTTTTTCCTTATATATTCTAGCTTTCTGGGTCCGTAAAATACAGGTCTTTACCAATTTACATATCTATTTCTAGCCAAAAATTTCTATACCTATTCCTTATTTACTTCAATATTTTATAGTAAAATAATTTAGTCTGAAAAAAAATTTAAGAGCAAAAAACTAAACATGCGCACCTTTTCCGCATACGTAGAGCTTATAAGATACTTATAATTAGCTTTGTTTTTCTGCTAAATGCATTTCATTGATAGCTCAGTAATTAAGTGCGCTGTCATTAGTGTTGGTTTGGGTGGTTTAAGACCTCCTCTTAGCGTAATAAGTTTTAAAAATTTTTCAATCATGCTTATATCCCGGTGGGAAATCGGCTAGCGAATAGCTAGCGATATTCGTTACGATTAAGACAGCGATTTGGCCACGAAGATCATTAGCTTTATAAGCAAGCGATCCGCTAGCTAAACAAACTAGCGAATAGCTAGCGATATTCGTTACGATTAAGACAGCGATTTGGCCACGAGGATCGTTAGCTTTATAAGCTAGCGATCCGCTAGCTAAACAAGCTAGCGAATAGCTAGCGATATTCGTTACGATAAAGACAGCGATTTGGCCACGAGGATCGCTAGCTTATAAAGCGATCCGTTAGCTAAACAAGTTAGCGACAAGTCGTTACGATAAAGACAGTGGTATGGCCACAAGGATTGCTAGCTAAATAAGCTAGCGAATAGCTAGCATTAAGTCGTTACGACAATGACATCGATTTGGCTAGAAAATCTCGGCTAGGTTAGAAGATATGCTCAAAGAATCGCGTGCTATATTTTTCAGGGGAGTGAACTATAACCATTAAAATAAGATTGCATTTATAACAAATTAAATACAAAATGTTAATACTTGTTTCCATAAAAAGTTATAAATGTTAAAGCCATTATAAAATGTTAAAAGAAAAGTTATAGATTACTTTTGAAAAATAAAAAGTCATTAACAACTAAATGATTTTGCCTAAATTAAATTAATAATTTCAAAAGATATTTAAAAAGATAATAGAATAAAATTTCTGTCAAATTTTAGTTTTTTTTTTAAATCTTTATCAATTTTCAAAAATAATTGCTAAAAAGTTGTAACAAATAAAAAAGTCAATAAAAAATAATAGAACAAATAAACAAAAAAAATAAGTTAACTGGAATCACTACATGAGTCAGCGTTTAAATTTTTTTTTTTTTCTAACAGGGCTGTGTATTTGTATATCACTTGTTAAAGAAGAACTTCTCTTTCTTGCAGCAAAATAACGATCTTTAGACTTTTTCAAGTGTTTCACAATTATTGTAGTCATACTGGATTCAGTGGCAGTTGAAAATAAACAGTAAGCTGCATCAAAAATCAAACTTTCGACTGGTCCTATAAACTTACGCTTTTTATCTGCACCGGTTCAATTAATGCTGCAGCACAGCTTGTCTGTTAAACAAGTTTTTAAAGCATTTTTTAAAAAGTCACTTACATTTCTCCCACCAATTTGCTTTAACTTTCTGCAAATCATTAGAAATCTTTACAGAGTTCAATTGATTAGTAGTTACTGATCGAAGATCATTTAAGCAAACAACTGCATGTTGAAAAATATTTCTACCTGTTTTAATTCGTCTTTTCAATAAACCCAACATATTTTCAAATTGAAATGCAGAAAATGAGTCTAAAGGTCCATATTTTGCTACAAATGAAGCTAGATGAAGTAACACATGCACATTATAAACCATAGATCTCTTGCTAAATAATATAGGCATAAACTCAACAAACTTTTTAACACATTCAGATGCGATACCATGATAAGCAAAAAATTCATCAGAAGCCAAAACATACAAGCTGATA